AACTTTCAAAGAACCCCAAATAGTAAAGACAATCTTGGGGGGCGGAGGCTGGCTAGCACACACTTCCTGATTTCAAAGCTTATTTTGAAGCTGGCCCCTCCCTTCATGCTATCCACAAAATCAACTCAGAGTAGATCAAAGGACAGGAGTGAGACCCAAAGCTGTAGATCAAAGGACAGGAGTGAGACCCAAAGCTGTAGAAGCCTGAGAAGAAAACACCCGGGAACACTGCATTCCCTGGATTTTGCAATGGTTTTTATGTAATTTTAAAATGATAGGTGACAAAAGTTTTAAAAAAATAGACAAATCCCAGTACAGTAAAGAAAGCTGTAAATACAAACAGGCCATCACAGACTGCAAAAGAGCACATGGGGTGGGAGCTGTGTGCATGCAGATCATGGGAGCACACGGGGTGGGAATTATGTAAAGATCATGTGTCTGACAAGGTGTTAACATCCACAGGGTAAAGAACACGCAGTACTGACCAAAACAAAGAGCCCAGTTATAAGTGGTGGAGGAACATTTCTCCAAAGGAGTCTTAGTTAGTGATGCATGAGACTCTGTGACAGAGCAAATCAAGGCAGACAGGGCTGAAAGGGATTATTCAGTTTATGCCACCACATCACTGCTCATCATCAAAGGAAGTCAGGACAGGAAGTGACGCAGGGCAGGAACCTGGAGCCGGGAACTGATGCAGAGGCATGGAGGGGTGCTGAGGCCATGGAGGGGTTCTGCTTACCTCCTTGCCTATTTTCTAATAGAACCCAGGATGGCACTGAGTCCTCCCTCCACAAGTCACTATGTAAGAAAATGCCCTACAGGCTTGCCTGCAGCTGAATCTTGTGGGTGCTTAACTGAGGCTCCCTCCTTGCATCAAGTTGACATAAAACCAGTCAGCACAGAAGGCGGAGACGTGGTCAACAAGCATCCAAGATGCTGCTCACGGTGTATAGTTGCCAGGCCAACAGGAACCCAAATCTCTTGAGTTGCCGCCTCCTCCACATTCAGTGAGTAACTGTTTAAATGAAAATCTATCCATCATGGCAAAGAATGGAGAAACTGAAAATTTACTACACTATTGATAGATAAAATGGTAAGCAATATAGAAAACTGTCTAGCAAATACTGAGAAAATGACAAAATAGAGCCAGCATTTAACCCAGTAATTCATCTTCTTGGTATTCAGAACAATTAAAAACAAGGGCTTGAGAAGATATCTGTATGCTTGTGTTCATAATGACATCATTTATGATAGCTAAAAGATCCCCAAGGGCTGGGCCGTGGTAGCATACTCCTTTAATCTCAGCACTCGGGAGGCAGAGGCAGGCGAATCTCTGTGAGTTCGAGACCAGCCTGGCCTACAGAGCGAATTCCAGGCCAGCCTCCAAAGCCACAGAGAAACCCTGTCTCGGAAAAAACAAAACGACAAAAGAACCCCAAGGCCCACTGGTGGGTGAGTGGATGAATAGATGGTAGCATATACCCATAACGGAGTACTAGTCATCCTTGAATAGGAAAAACTGATGTGTTACAACATCGATGTGTTACAGCGTTGACAAAATTTGGGGGCATCATGCAAAGTGAAAATAAAGCAGTCGGGCCCTCACATATGTGAGGAGACTAGAGTGGACAAACTCTGAGAGACAGTGGGCAGTGGTCCTCAGGGACCGGCAGCAGCAGGCACTTGAGTCAGTGTTTAATGGGGACTTTTACTTCAGGGAGGTGAAGGTTGCTATGGAGACAGATGGTGTGGCTGCTGACGAGCTGTAGGTGTTGACCGAATGCCAACAGTGGCTAAAATGTGAGTTTTATGTATATATGCTTTGCCACATCTTAAACAGCAAATTTCTCTTTTTCTTTAGAGTAATGACATTCTTTTTTTTTTTTTAATTGGCACATAGCAGTTGTCCGCAGTTGTCAAATTGACACATCTGTCACCTCAGACAGGTACATTCACACACCATGGTCAGAAACAGTGGGCTGGGTCTTCCCCCAGCAACTAACTTAATAAAGATACCTCCACATGGCTTCGGTACACCAGCCCAGCTACAAAACCTTCGACCGACAACTTGTCCTGCCTACAAGATGTGCTGGGGCATAGGCGGCACAGCAACTGGAGGTGACCAGCCAATGACTGGCCAGCTTGAGACTCATGTCACAAGAGTGAACCCGCCCCTGACATGGCCTGGAGGGCCAGGACCCAGAGGCGGGCAAGCCCAGAAATCTAGGATAGAACCAAACGTGACTTACCAAAAAAAAAAAAAAAAAAAAAAAAAAAAAAGGCGACGAAATGATTCCTGATGCTATTTATTCTGCCATATTCATAGATTGGTGACTAGCCCAATTGTTATCAGAAAGACTTCCTCCAGCAACTGATGGACACAGATGCAGAGACCCATAGCCAAACATCAGGGGGAGCCTGGGGCAGGCACCCTGTGCAGGAGGGGAAAGAAGGATCGCAGGAGCCAGAGAGGGCAAGGACACCACAAGAAAACGCACAGAATCAACTAACGTGGACTCATAGGAGCTCAGAGGCTGAAGCAACAGTCAGGGAGCCTGCATGGGACTGACCTAGGCCCTCTGTGTAGCTGGGTGTCTTTGTGGGACTCTTAACAGTGGTTAGGGTTTGTCTGGGACTCTTTTGCCAGTTTTAGGAACCCTTTCCTCCTACCAGATTATCTTGTGCAGCCTTAATATGAGGAGAGGAGCCTAGTCTTACTGATGTGCCATATTTGGTTGATATCCAGGGGAGGCCTGCCCTTTTCTGAAGAGAAATGGAGAAGGAGTGGATGGGGGAGGGGGAGTAAGGGAAGTGGGGGGAAGAACTGGGAGGAGGGGAAACTGCTGTAGGGATGTAAAATAATAATAATTAAATAAAAATAGTATAAAAAAAGATACCTCTACACACACACACACACCCAGCACAGCCATCCCCACAGGCCAACCCAATGAGGACAAGCCATCCTGGAGCCTCTCTTGCCTGGTGACTCTAGGGTGTGTCCAACATGACAAACCTGACCGCCACACACCCTTCATCTAGTTGAAGAAGTTCCTTCTACTGTTTGCTGAACTTTTATTTTGAATGGGTATTAACTTTTGTCTAAGCCTTTTATGAACCTGTTGAGTTATATAATAACTTTCTCCTTTGTTCCTAGTTTATTACAATAAACTTTCAAATTCTGTACCAAACTTGCAATTTAAGTAAACATAGCTTGAAAATAATAAAATCAATGGAGCACAGTTATTACAAAGAGTTCTTGAATAACAGCTAGAATACAGTAGGTCCTCAATCAATGTTTCCTGAGTTTTGTTTCGATTTTTATGCAAAAGCTTGTTTATAACTATATACTTTGACAGTTTTGGGAAAGCTGACTAAATGGTGCTGCAGTTTTCTCTCTGTCTCTGTCTCTGTCTCTGTGTCTCTCTCTGTCTCTGTCTGTCTCTGTCTCTGTCTCACACACACACACACACACACACACACACACACACACACCCTTAACAGCACTGTTATGTAACTGGAAATGGGACATGCAGTGTGCTTAAGACACATCACACAATAATTAATTCATTAACTCTGGGTTTTTTGTTTTCCTAGACGTCCTGGAACTTGCTCTGTAGACCAGGCTGTCCTCAATCTCACGGAGAACCGCCTGCCTCTGCTTCCCTTGTGTACCACCGCCGCCTGGCAGTTCTTTTTTATTTTTTGAAACAGGGCTTCAGCCTGGAACTCGCTGAGATCTGCCTCTCTGCCTCTCCATCTCTCCCTCTTCTCTGCCCCTCTGCCTCCTGAGTGCTGGGATTGAAGGAAGACACAGTCACTATAATTCTAGGACACGTTACCAGAATGCCTTCTGAAATGCTCTTTATTGACAACATATTTACAGTTACTATATTTTGGGATCCAAATAGATTTATATTTCTTTGACACAGTAAAAACCTCGTCAAAATACAGTTCCTGCATTAGTGAGTTGGATAGATTTTTGGCCTCATGTCTGCCATCTAGTGGCACCAAGGGTTATTGCAGACAGTTTTTAAGAAACACCAAGGCAACCCTCACAATGGTGTTTTGTTGTTTTATGTCTATATGTTTTTTGGTCAGCCGTATCTTGTTTATTTTTAACATGTCTTTTCAATAACTCTCACAAGCGTGTGATAAGTCTCAACAAGTAGTTCCTTCTACAGCTTTGTGGAGGGAGCGGGCAAACAAACAAGGGGGGCACACAGAAACAGGTTTGTTTGTTTGTTTATTTGTTTATTTGGCTATTTGAGACAGGATTTCTCTGTAGCTTTGGAGCCTGTCCTGGAACTCACTCTGTAGACCAGGCTGGCCTAGAACTCACAGAGATCCGCCTGCCTCTGCCTCCTGAGTGCTGGGATTAAAGGCGTGCGCCACCACCTCCCAGTCTGAAGAATTTTTTTAATTAATTGATTTAATATTTTTATGTTGATTAGCATTTTGCCTGCATGTATGTTTGTGTGAGGGTTACAGGCAGTGTGAGCTGCCATGTAGATGTTAGGAATTGAACCCAGGTCCTCTGGAAGAGCAGTCAGTGCTCTTAACTGCTAAGCCTTCTCTCCAGTCCAAATCAAGAATTCTAAGACTCACACAGTTAGTGCTTTCTTCCACAACAACAACAATTAAACAAGGCAGTGGATATAGTCATTGTCTGTGACCCAAGTGCTCCATCAAGAGTAGTAATAGGGTCAGTGATACACTCGGCGGGAAAAGTGCTTCCTGGCAAACCTGAGGCTCTGAACTGATTCCTGGGCCCCATTACAGAAACATATAACCTAGGTGAGAAAGTTATCTTCTGACCTCCACGGATGTGCCAAGGTATGCGTGCACCCCCCATTCATACGTCATACACACAGAATTTTTTTAAGTTAATTTTTTATTTTGTGCCCATTGGTGCTTTGCCTGCATAGACATCTGTGGGAGGGTGTGGAATCTCTTGGTGCTGGAGTTACAGACAGTTGTGGGTACTGCCATGTGGGTACTGGGAATTGAACCTGAGCCTGGGTCCTCTGGAAGAGCAACCAGTGCTCCTAACCTCTAAGCAATCTCTCCAGTCCCAGAAGTGCAATTTTCATTGCATAAATATCCTTTGACCCACATGTAGTTTTTTTTCTGGATGGTAGAGTCCATTACTTTAGAATCACGAATCAGTTCTCCTACAGTTTCAATTACAGCAGCAATTTCCTTGAACTGTCTGTAGAAATTCTGAAACTGTGGAATTGTCATTTCGATGGACTTGCTGTTTACTTGGCCAGAATGGTCTGCCACTTTTAGCATCACCGCCACATACAGATACTTGAGCCATCTGCATTGGTCAGAGCTCACAGCCACGCCCAGTTTCCACTGAAAATCTATAAGCTGACAGGTGACCTCAGATTTGGCGTCCAGCACCGGTTCCCTGAGTGGCGGAGACTCCCCCATGGCCAGACAGGAAGTCCCATTTTTAAAAAATGCTTAGGTAGTGGTAATTGGAGATAATTGCTCATTGGAAGAACAATTGATCTCTAGCACCCCTAAACAGAATCGTAGTGGTGGTGATTATCACAGTAACTCTTAGCTTTCGAGCACAGAGGCCAGACCTCGAATGATGTGTATTCTCTATCATCTTTTACCATACTAATGCTCTTTATCCCCAGCGAAGCTATCAGAGGTTGAAAAATATCATAAAGCAAAAAAGCTCCCATTGCATGGGACCCACCATACGCCTTGAGAACATCACAGAGCCTGATATCCCCACAGCTCCCGAGTGCTGAGCAATGCCTGCCAGGAGTACCCAGCTACACGTGCTGCACTGGAAAGGGTTAAGTTTTAAAGTGAAGGTCACTGTGAGGCTGAAACATCTTTTAAGTCAGGGCCAGTGTGGGAACATAAGTTGACTGGCACGCAGACAAGAGACAGCTTCTTTAGAATATACATAAGAGGAGATATACACTGGGAGCTTACAGAAACCACAAGGCTAGAGAAGCCCCACAACCCACCATCCAAGAGCCAGAGACCCAGGAAAGCCACGGGTGTAATTCAGTCTTGAATCCAAAGGCCTGAGAAGCCAGGCACCCAAGAAATGGTCCGGAGAGAAGGAGGAGGCAGGGCTGTGCGTCTCAGAGTCCAAAGACCCAAGAGTTAGAGTTCTAGTGTGGGTAGAAGACAAACGCTATCCGGGAGAGAGAACACACACACACACACACACACACACACACACACACACACACACACACACACACACTCACACCTGGCCATAAAAAAAAGAAACAAAAATGAATGCTAATTTTGAACTTACGGCTGAAATGGTTTCAGCCTGGTACATTCAAATGCTAATGAATTCTAGAACCTGAGTACTTTTCTTAGATTATTTCCATGGACGCTTTCCTAGGACATATATGTATTTTGGTTTTTGAGACTGGGTTTTTCTGTGTAGCCCTGGCTGTCCTGGAACTCACTTTGTAGACCAGGCTGGCCTTGAACTCACAGAGGTCCATCTGCCTCTTCTTCCCGAGTGCTAGGATTAAAGGCATACACCACCACAACCTGGCTTGAAAATAGATTCTTCATATATAACTGAAGAAACTGAGATTTTAGTGAGACTGTGAGACATATATAATAATGGATATATGTTTGTCACAATGGAAATGGCAGGAGACTCCAATCCCTATGAAAAATAAAACTCAAGGTCTGGACAAGTTTACTATATATATAACATAAAAAGAACTATGTCCTTAGGTATTACTGAAAAAGAGAGATAATTATTCCTTACATTTATTAATTTAATATTTATGTATTTATTTGCATGTTTATACATGCATGCAGTGTTTGCGCATGTGTGTAGAGGTCAGGAGACAACCTCAGATGTCATTCCTAGCACTGTCTATTTTTTTAGGCTAGGCTGGCTGGCCAGTGGGCTAGGGATCCATCTGTCCCTGTCTCCCCAGGCCTAGGACTCCAGGCAGACACCACACCTGGCTTTTTTGTGCAAGTTCTGGGATCACATCCGTGTCCTCAAGGTAGCAAGGCTAGGCTATCTCTGCAGTCACACCTTTCTTTTAAAGGTAATTACCAAGGCATTTAATTGGGGTTTTCTTGCAGTTTTAGAGGCTTAAATTATCCAGGGAAATTTCTACTACATTCAAATGTCCATACACATGTACACACATGCACACACAGAGAGCAATCTTTTCTCAGCTGTGTTGACAGCCTCAACCTCCTGGCACAGCATATACCCAAGGGGTTATCCATTCTCTGCAGGGGGAGGGGGAGGGATGGGGCAGTGTGTTCTTCCCGCTCAGCTGTGTGACTTCCATCAAGTTACCAACCATTTCCACGTGGGCCTCCATTTCTTCATCTGTGTGCTGGGGTGATGACAGTTCCTATTTCACTGAAATGCTGTGGGGACTGAAGGACCTAACACGGAAAGCATTAGGCAGCACCTGGACATGAGTTGTAAAAACTATCTGCTGCTTCTGGCATGAAGAAGGAAGAGGGTGGTGGCATGAGGGAACTGATGGGGTGTGCGATCCTTGGTCACTCAGCATGTTCGTATTCATCTTCTTCAGGAAGCATCCCTTTACCAGGGAGTGCACCTCATGGGCCTCCCATTTCCCTGAGCCAGAGCGAGCCAAATGTGAATTTCTCTCTTGGTAACTTTTTAACTGAGAGTTTCTCATTCCCTGGTCAATCTGCATTGCACGTTCATGTTCATACTAATTAGGCTGCTTTCCTTAGGGGAGAAAACAGTGTTTCTCTTCCAGGGATGGTTTACTGACTTTCCCCTCTAAACCTACTGTTTCTCTTTTCCAAATCAGACGTAGTCACATTGTAGCCGTCTAGGAGGAATTATGCTAAGATTCTGAAATGATAGATGGGATGGACAGTGGAGATGCCAGTCTTCCTGACCTAATCATTGCCCAATACATACATGGCAGCAAGCTTCACAAACACATTTAACTGCAGTCAATTAAAATGTCAGAGCAACAGAAATTGCATCACCTGATGATACACTTGCCCCTTTAGATGCACATATATTTGAAAAGATCTAATTCATTTCCATCATCCTACAGGCACACACTGAAAACCTGAGGCCACCCACACACCCAGGGCCCTATGACCTGCTTGTAGCTCCTGCCTTCTAGCTCTGGCTTTGTGCACTACCTTGCATCCCATACAGTCTCCTAAAAGATGCTAAGATCTCTGATGGGTCCGTTATCCTGGGTCATGGGACTCGGGGCAAAAGGATTCAAACACGTCATGATGATTTATTGGTGAACTGGAGTCATTAAGAACAAAATGAAAGTGGAGCTGACAAGGGGAAGATCAGAGGCGGGACCACAAATCAATTTGACTAAAAGTTCGAAGACTAGATTTTAATAAAGAAAAGATGCTTGAGTGTATGAGAAAGGAGTATTAGTCAGGATTGTGTAGAGGAACAGGATCAATATTCAATATATATTCATGCCAATATCGACATATTTTATCACCAGGCTGTGGTAGCACATGCCTTTAATCGCAGCACTTGGACGGAGGTAGAGGCAGTCTGATGGAGGCAGAGGCAGTCTGATGGAGGCAGAGGCAGTCTGATAGAGACAGAGGTAGTCTGATGGAGGCAGAGGCAGTCTGATAGAGACAGAGGCAGTCTGATGGAGGCAGAGGCAGTCTGATGGAGGCAGAGGCAGTCTGATGGAGGCAGAGGCAGTCTGATGGAGGCAGAGGCAGTCTGATAGAGACAGAGGCAGTCTGATAGAGGCAGTTTCTAAGCTGAAGTGCCTCTTCCCAGGGTGCTTCAGCTTGTGTTGAGTTGACAAAAGTTAACCTGGACTAAGCAGCCAAGAAAAATAATAGGCTATTCTATAACGACTGTAACCGAAATCTTGTGAAATGAACGAGGCACAGTTTTCCCTTTGAGACAACGGACGGTTTATGTTAAACTGAACAGATTTTAAATCATTTTATTTTATTTTATTGTGTGTCTGTGGTAGCGGGTGTTTGTGTATGGATGTGAGTGTGTTACCATGGGTGTTTGGAGGTCAGTGGACAATTTGTGGGAATCAGTTTTCTCCTTCAGTGTGGGTCCCAGGGATCAAGTTGAGATTGGTGGCAGTTACTTTTACCTGCCGAACCATCTAGCCAGCCCTGAAAAGATTTATTTTTTAGGCTCACAAACTGGCTGCAGAGAGCAGCATGTTCAACACTGTATTCTGTGCGTGGTGTGTGCAGTGAGAGCTGGCAGGATTCTCTGCCTCTTCCCCGGACTTTGATCAAATGCCTCATGTCAGAGTACCTCGAATAGCTTGAATTCAGAGTCCTGCTGGAACCCACATCATGCAGTAATGATGGGCAAAGATGAGACGGACACCCCAGTTGTAGGCGGAGCCTGTGAATCCCCTGCCCACTGCCTCAGAGGTGCAGAAACCCAGCCCTTCCTCTGCCGGGGCGGTCACATCAGTGGCGATGACAGTTCCATTTCTGTGAAAATCGTTCCATTGTCCATGAAGATGAAGTTGTTTGTGAAGATCTTTCCACTCCTTAGGGTCTGTTCCTCCGAACAACAGTTTGGGGTCTTGCTCCTTCAGATCCGGATGGGACGGTTTGCAAGGACTTTTTTGAAGTGGCCAGCAGGAGGCGCCACTGGAACATGTTGGCATGGAGCTAAAAATCTTGACTTTGAGTGTTCTGGTTTCCACGTCTCACCGGTTAAAATAAATAGACAGACAGACAGACAAATCCCTCTCAGGTTTCTGGCTTCCAGAAACTATATAATTGTGGATTCTAATTTTCCCTCAAGGTCCTTCTCTGATAATTTCAAAGTAAGGTCTTCCCTTTTCCTTCAAATCACGAGACTCCACTGGAGCCAGAGTGAAACCTGGCCATGATGCTAACCAGCCTGGTCCTTCTGCTTTTCTCTCCATTATCTGCTTCCTTCCTTCTGGCATTTGTAGATGTTTTGCTTATCCTGGAAGGATCTCTGTCCACAGACAGCAGCTGGCCTGTATCGTGGTACCAACTCTCTGCTCTCTACTGCCCCGGCAACGTGCCACGACACCAGGCTCCCCGACTCCCTTTTTCCCGGCTCACAAATACTCTTTAGCCTGTATCCACCCCAGACTGCTTCACCTGTGACCCTGCCCCACACGGGCATGCACATGCCTGCTCATACCCTGACAACTGCATAGGTCTTGTAGAAGCCCCTATAGCACTTCTCGGAGAGATTCTCCCTGGTTAGCTCCCAGGAGCAATGCTCCACTCATGTGGCTGGGAAGGGGTGGGGTGGGTAAGCCCTCAGGAGACAGTGCCCAGGCGAATGGCGCATACTCAAGTTTCTCTGGGGAGACAGCCCTCACTGCCTACAGCGGTCATTTGAGCAATCACAGGCCCAGTCACACAAATTGCATTCAGACTCTTGTCTTTGGCTCTGCCCGGGTGGTAGCGCAAACTAAAATGATCTTTTTCTCAAACAACTCATGACTCATTCTCATTCATCCCTTGTTTACCTCTGGCTGCTTTGTGAACATTGTTCTCTTGAGGGTGAGCCTAGGGTACCCAAAAGACGGTTCGCAGCCTTGTCTCCCCTGGTTTCTCAGCACCCTTGCAGGGGTCTCCTTCCCTCCCTCCCTTTCTTCCTAAAGCATTTATTTGGAGTAGGGAGCAGATGCCATGCTCCTGGCTTCTGTGGAGGTCAGAGGGCAACTTGGAGTTGGTTTTCTCCTACCATATGGGCTCTTGGGATGCAACTGGGATAATCAGGCTTGGTAGCCATTGGGCTTATTGGCAGGCCGTCTTGTGGTCCAGGCTCACAGCCTCTACGTAGGTTCTCTCCTGCATCCTTCCCAGCGTCTGACACCCTCCTTCCAGACCTGTACTGAATCCTCTAGTTATCTCTCTTGTCCTTGCCAACTGTGCATTCCAAAGTGTTCTTGTCCCTCCTCGTCATTGTGCTCTGTCTCCTTCCCTCTGTCCTCTCCCGATTCTTACCTTCTTAGCAGTCTCCAGAGCCAGTCTCTCTCCGGTCTCACACCTGTGCTTTCATGCACTCCCCCAAGCCTCCTGGGGACAGCAGTGACCGCCAGGGACCTTCACTTTCGGAAACTCCTCTCTCCCTCAGTGCTGGGGACAGAAGACAGAGGTCTCCACTGGCCTTAGCTTTATGCTTCTAACTTGGGGGATCATGGGGTGTGACATGGAGGACAAGCCTGGGTAGAGCTTGAACCCCCAAAGTAATTCCATGTCTCAGTTAGGGTCCTATTGCTGTGAAGAGACACCATGAACATGGCAGCTCTTATAAGAGAAAACATTTAAGGGGGCTGGCTTACAGTTCAGAGGTTAGTCCATTATCATTATGGCGGGAAGCATGGCAGCACACAGGCATACACGGTGCTGGAGAAGGAGCTGAGAGTTCTACATCTGGATTGGCAGGCAGGAAGAAGAGAGAGTGAGCCACTGGGCCTGGCTTGAGCTTCTGAAACCTTAAAGCCTGCCCCGAGCAACGTACTTCCTCCAACAACACCACCCCTATTCCAACAAGGCCACACCTCCTATTAGTGCCACTCCCTTTGAGCCTCTGGGGACCATTCTCATCAAACCAACACACCCAATAGGTATCTGAGCTGCTCCACAGAACCAGGCCACAGTGTCCACTTGGAGAGACTGTCACTAGGTCCCCAGTGCCCACCCTCCCTCCTTCTTTTGCTGCTTAACACATGAAAAAAACACTTCCTTTCCCTGGATCTCCACCTGGACCCAGATCCCAGGCTCAGGGCCTCAGAACTGGGTAGCACCCATCTTCCTCTGCTGGTAAGGGCCAACTGGTTGCCAAGGCAGACTGCTTCTGAAATGGACCACTCCCAGCTACCACTCCCTCCGTGCCGCACCGGAGCCATGCTCCTTCAGGTCCACAAGTGCAGTGTGGCACTGGTTCCCCACGTGACCCCACTGTAGATCTCTTTCCCTCTGTGTTGCACTACGAGAAACCCACTTTGGCAAAACTCCAAAACAAATAAAACATCCAAAGGCCAACAAGAAACCCATACGTTCAATGGTTCGCCACTGTCGTTTGAGTTGCAGACGAGTCTCATTTAAAAAAGAAATAATTTAATAAAGTTTATCTTGAGGTTAGGACAGAATTTCAGACAAATTCTGAAATAGCCCTAAGTATATTTGTGCCATTTTGTACTGTGTATTTGTGCAAACCAGTATCCCCAACACTGACAGTTATAAAATCCAAACACTGTAAAAACCCTGAAGACCATCTACACCCTGCAGCAGCCGTCTGCTAAGACACAATCCTTTATGTAAAACAAAGATTCACGTTATTAGCATACAAATCTGCCTCCGTGTTTAGTAAATGGTAACACCATGTATATACTAAGCTTTGGTTTACAAATTTGTTCCTTTTCCTTTATGTGCATGAGTGTCTTGTCTGCGTGTGTGTCTGCCCACCGTGTGTGTGCTTGATGCCCATGGAAGCAAAAGAAGGCATCGTATCTCTTGGAACTGGAATTACAGGTGGTTGTGAGCCACCATGTGGGTATTATATTTTTTCCCATTCTGAATATTGTTTATTTATGTTCTTGATAATGCCTAGATGCAAAATGTGTTTTAGTTTTTATACACTTATTGGTTCTTTGAGAATTTCAGGTAATTAGGTTTTGATCTTACTCACCCCAACCCCTCCTGGAATCACCCTCCTTTCCTGCCACCCTGACTGCCTGTCCGCTTTTTCTATGTACCCATAAAGTCCAGCCTGTGCAGCCCACATATTCTCGGATGCATGTCTTCCTTCTCGAGTTCTGTTGATTTTCCAGGGACTACATTCTTAAAGGAAACTGACTCTCCCTCTCCTGGTAGCTGTTAATTGCCCATAGACCCTTGGCTAGGTGGAACTTTATTCCCAGCTTCCCTCTCTGTGCTGGGATTTGGTCTGGCTTCATCTTACACAGGTCTTGTGCCTGCTGTAAAACTGTTGTGAATTCATATTTGTAGCTGCCCTGATGTATACAGAAAATACTGTTTCCTTGTAGACATCTACCACCTTTAAGGCTGATCATTCCAAAGTTTCTTATATTCTCAATGTTGACCAGTTGTGAGTCTCTGTGTTGATCACAATCTATTGCATTAATCTGTGGATGTAACAATATGTCAGTAGGAGTTAGTTCAATACTATGTCCGTTTAACAGAATAATAATAGTGTATTGTCCCCTAGGGTCTGTGACCTACCCAGCTATGGGTTCTTGGCCTGGTAATGGTGCCAGATATTTCATCTTGTGGATTGGGACTTAAATCTAACCAAAAAGGAGTTGACTTCTCATATGATATTTGCACCATTATTGCATCAGTGGGTATGTCTCGCCAGAGGAGTCATTATTGTGGCTCATGGGGTTCACAGTTGGATAGAACTGATGATTACTTTTCTCCTACAGTAGCACACATAGTAACTTTCATGGTTCTTCATATTTTTCTGTGTAATTGTTCCCCAATAAACACCCATTCATCATTTATCTTGGGTCTAGTGAAATTACACCCATGCCTTCAGTCCTCTGACCTCCACACGTGCCACATCCCATAATCACATATACACACACAACAATAACCATGTTTTAAGAATTAAATAAAAGTCAACCTCTCCTACATATCCCTGAAGGAAAGCCGGTCTTACCTATCTTCACTGGCATGTGACCGTTCACTTGCTCCATGTCTTCCCGGCAACATCTTGGCCACTGCCCACATGTGACAAAGCACCACACCTTGGACCTGCAGCACCCTAGCCTCCAGCCCCGGTCCTGCCTCTTTCTGAATGTGGGTGTAAGCAGTTTGATAATGTCCCTATTGCCCTGTTTCCCCATCTCTCAGAATGGGATATCCCACAGGTAAACTCCAGAAGAAGGAGGACTCTGTTGCTCTTTCCCTCTGCAGTATTTCCGGCACCTAGGAAGAACCTTCTTGTAGTATTTGTTCCATAAACATTTTTATTTCCCCACCCATGATTGCCAATGGCTTCTGAGAACACATTTTCTGCTATGGCATTCTTTTGTTGTTAAGTGCACTACATTTTGTTTACTTATTTCTTTATTTACTTATGGTTGGGTGCACATACACCGTGGCTTACAGTTGGAGACCAGAGAACAACTGTGGGAGGAGTTGGTCTCTCTCTTCATCACCTGGGTCCCACAGGTCAAACTCAGGGTGTTAGACTTGGCAGCATGCACCCTGAACCACTGAACCATCTTGCTGGCCCCTTCCTGCAGCATTCTTGTTGCAAGTCACCTAAATGAATTCCAACCCATTTATCAGAGAGGTTTTGGTTTACAGTGAGATCACAGGTCATGTGCAGATGCCCTGGGAAGGTTGCAGACACAAGTCTAACTTTTCAGGTCTTGCTCCTTCCTGTCTTCCTGAAAGGAAGTTAATCCAAAGCACTCCCCTTCCTTCCTTCTAGCTACTCAGGGTAATCCTTTTCTTCTTTCACCTCTCTGTTAAAAGCACATCTAGCTTCCAGGCTCAGCAAAAACCTTCTGGAAGCCTTTGCTGACTGCCTTCTCCACTCCCTGCCACCTGATGTTTTCTTGAGTGCTTAAAGTGCCAAACGGTTTTTCGAGACAGGGTTTCTCTGTGGCTTTGGAGCCTATCCTGGAACTAGCTCTTGTAGACCAGGCTGGTCTCAAACTCACAGAGATTCGCCTGCCTCTGCCTTGCAAGTGCTGGGATTAAAGGCTTGCGCCACCACCACCTGGCAAGCCAAACAATTTTCATTCTGACTTTTACAATAGCCGCAGTCTTTTCTCTCCTATTTGGATTGTGTTCCTTGGGGTCGAAGTCCCTGTCCATAGCCTTGTGTGTCATGTACTTGGTGAGATGGTGCACGTCTTTAAACCCAGCAGAGACAGGTGGATCTCTGTGAGCTCAAGGCCAACCTGGTCTACAAAGTGTGTTCCAGGACATCCAGAACTACACACAGAAACCCTGTCTAGGGGGAAAAAAAGGAAAAAAAAAGGAAAATAAAGAAGCTCAAGACATTTCTCCAGAGCAAAAGATCTGTTTACTCTTGAAATAGTCACAACACTAATCTTAACACA